TGACGTTAACTGTTTTTTACTGCATTCAAATGTCATCCAAGCTATTTACACGTTTTTTTTTCTATTTTCATTTCATTTTCGTTATTAAAAAATGTAAGTTTTACAATTTAATATTTATGTGACATTATCGCTAAAATCATCGCTTTTATATCTTTTAGGTTACTCAAGATATTGACGAACTCGTTTCATTGTCTTCTATCATTTTATCAGTTTAAATTTTCTTAAAATTATTTTAAAATTCGTAAAACTAAGCCTAAAAACCTAAAACTTACAACATCCTAACCTATTTTGATCTATAATTTATACCATCCAATTAATATATAATTTTTAAATTTTAAAAATCAAAATAAGAGTAAATCAAAAGTTTAATCAGTAAATTGAAAATAAGAATGATAAAAAAAGTTGATTGATAAAAATTTGTAATTTACGCATAAGAATAATATATAATAGTTTATTTAAAAAAATGTAAATGCGGAGTGTACAGCGACCGTTAAGTTACCGGCGGCAAGTATTGGATAGTTGAATGGTGTCATCCCTTAAAACCCAACCCAATCCCCCCTTCTTCCCCGTTTCCTCTCACTCGCTTTCGTACTCAAACCACCTGCTTTCTACCTTTTCTAGTCATTGGATCCTCACAACGAAGCCTTTCTCATCACAAGAAAACATATACTACACAATCATGGTGGTCGAAACCGGTTTCTCTTCTCCTCGAACCGATGCCTTTCCTGCCGGCCTCCGTGTTCTCGTCGTCGATGACGATTCTACCTGGTTAAAGATCCTTGAAAAGATGCTCAAAAAGTGTTTTTACGAAGGTCATAACTTCTTTAAATTACCTTGGAACCAGCTTTTACATTAGCAGTAGCTTATAACTTCTTTGTGTTTGTTTTAATGCACCACTGTTCATTTTTTTTTGCTGTGAACTATTCATGTTTTTTATATAGGTTTTTGTTTTTGATTCTATGGACAGGAGATTAAAGCTTTGTTAGTGTGTAGGGATGTTTCGTTCTTCTGTTCTTGGTGTTTTGTGTGTCCATTTAAAGTTGAAAACACATGATTTAATTGAGAGATCAAGGCTATGGATTTTAGTATGTTGCTAGCCCCTATAAATTGTCATAGGAATTTTATTTGTGGTTCATTTATAATCTTGGTTCATGAAATTGGAGTGACTAATTGAAAAGTCTTCTTTTTATATATATCTCTCTCTCTCTGTATATATATGTGTGTGAGTGGTTTTGTTAGTGTTGTTTTGTTTGATATCTTGCTAACATGGAGGATATCAATGGGCTTCTATGTAGTTTACTAATCTTAGTAAAACTAGGAACATACGCCAATGGCTGAGATTATGATTCGGTTGATTGATCAGGAAGTTCGAGCAACTCCGGTCACCGTTTGCTCTGAATTTTTAACTTGATGGATTTTACTGAGAGCTGGGAATGTCTTTGATTATCAGCTTTACTGGTGTTAGTATTTGAACAAGATTAGGTGGATGTATTAACGAGCTTGAATTTAGCCAAATGTACTTATTCGTATTAATGAGCTTGACTTTAGCCAAAACTACTGAAATATGCTTTAAACTTGAAGGGGAAAACGAAAATCCTTGGCTGAAGCTATACTCGAGGTAGATGCGTCCAGGGTCCAACACGCCAGATATTGGCTTGGCTAACTAGTTTACTGTGTTCCTGTTTTTGTATTGCTTAGCCTTTTTTCTCTAGATGCTTTAACGGTGCAACTTCCTTTTAATCTCTCCCACTTTAATCAAAGATTGTCTCCGAATATCGTTGCAGTTAGACTAAAGATGCTTTTAACCTTGATATGGTTGGTCTCGAAAGATTACCAATCTGATGTAGGATTCTTTAGCCTTTTGCCGAACGAAAAATTAAGCATCGAAATGTATTTTCATACAATCCTGACATTCTTTTTTGGTGCTTTTGCTTGTTTCAGTGACTACATGTTGTCTTGCACGAGAAGCCCTGAACTTGCTTCGTGAAAGGAAGAATGGTTATGACATCGTAATCAGTGATGTTAACATGCCCGACATGGATGGGTTTAAACTTCTCGAACACGTTGGACTCGAAATGGATTTACCTGTCATTAGTCAGTTCTCTATTGTAAATGTTGTTTGCTCTGATTTTTCCTTCAAATTTATTAGAAACACCTGCTCACAAGCTCCGTTTGTATGATGTCGCAGTGATGTCTGTTGATGGAGAAACAAGAAGAGTGATGAAAGGTGTTCAGCACGGTGCTTGCGATTACCTTCTTAAACCTATAAGAATGAAAGAGCTTCGGAATATATGGCAGCACGTGTTCAGAAAGAAGATACATGAGGTGAGAGACATTGAAAGTCTGGAAGGCATCGAAAGTATTCATATAACACGAAGTGGCTCCGAGCTGTTCGATGATGGGCATTTCCTTGGTGGAGAAGATACAACCTCTGGAAGGAAAAGAAAAGATGGCGACAACAAACATGACGATAAAGACCTCGGTGATCCCTCATCTACCAAGAAAGCCAGAGTTGTTTGGACGGTAGACCTTCACCAAAAATTCGTCAAAGCAGTAAATCAGATTGGATTTGATAGTAAGTTTGCTTCGAATTCAAATTTTCGGTTTTAAAGGTTAAGCTCTAGATCATCGTCACCGAATTCGAGTAATATCCTGAAGCCTTTTCTGTCAATAATATATCATAACACCTCATTTTAATGTCTGTTTGACAGAAGTAGGACCTAAGAAAATACTCGACCTCATGAATGTACCGTGGCTAACGAGAGAAAATGTTGCCAGCCACTTGCAGGTAAATACCTCCTACTTCTTTGGGTAGAAAAGAGTGTTTTCAAGGAAAAAGAAGCTCGGTTTATTTTACTTTTTTCCGATTATTCGAGATCGACACGACATGACAGAGTTTCTATGTTCTTGAGCTTTTGGAATCAACAACTTTTGATTCCCCAAATTGTTCGTAACTTGCAAACTGGTGAAAGAAAAGAGATGTTAATTGTCCATATATCCAAGACATTGTTTAGATTCTCATCAAGAAAAATTCTCTTGTGCAGAAGTACCGCCTCTATTTGAGTAGGCTGCAGAAGGAACGTGATATAAAGAACTCATTTATCGGAATAAAGCATTCAGATCCATCTTCGAAAGATTCTAATTCCGGTGCTGGTCTCCATAACTCGATGAATGTGATACAAGACAATGTGTCTAATGGCAGCTTTAGTTTTTCAGTGAATAACTCATGTGTCCTGAATGTTGATCTCAAAGGTCATGAAGGTGATGTAAAAGGAATTAGTTCAGGGCCAATGGCAGAATCCAAAGGAACTTTTTCTATCGACATTCCCGATCCTCCTAGAGCCAAGAGTCTGCAGATAAGCTTCGATCATTCACTTGGATCGGTTGATTCGGTTGTAAACTTGGCATCATTCAGTTCTACCGACACAGTGCAGTACTCCTGGAATGAAATTCCTGAGATTCAATTCAAACAAGAGTATGAACCGTTGCAATTAGAAAACAGAACCAACCAACTGCCGCAACCTGGTTTGCAGCATAATTTGCTGACCAAATATCTACAACCTACTGTATCCGTTAGCCCTGGACCTTCCGTAACTGAAAAAACGGCTACCAGTAGCGGATTTGAAGTTAAGCCTATGTGTGACAAGTACAGAAACAATCACATCAAACTTTCAAGTCCAACAGAAGCAGTTGGCGAGAGCCATACGCTAAATGATCAAGTTTTCGAGCCCATTTGCACTACTACATCAAGCATGAAAAGTCAGGACATCATTCCAAACCACCTCACAGAGTCGGAACTTTCACCAAGAAACCTGTACGACGGAGTAGGAGTCGAGAACTTACAACTCTGTTGGCTTCAAGGTGATTGTTATGCCATGGATTCTGGTCTCCAGGGTTTCGACTGTACTGAGTATAACAATCCAACAATGATACCCGAAATGCCAGTTCACTTGTATGATGCACCGAGGTTCGATCACGAGCATCTGTTTGATCCCATGGAATATTACGTAATCGATCAAGGATTGTTTGCGTAACACGGAATCGCATCAATGGTGCAGAAACTGATCCTTCGCTGTTAGAGGTAATATCTGTTGGTAGAGTACTTCCATTTTCATTGGATTGAAATGCCATTTCTCCAATCAATTATGGACTTGAATGTTGAAGCATGTATAATACAAGTGGTGATAAAACGTTGGAACATAATAAATTCTGCAGTTTTCTTACATGGGTTATGCTGATAGATCCAACTTTTCTTGTCCTCTTGTCGTGTTCATGTGTTTTATCATGTTTAAATATTATATTAGGATAAATTACACCCTGACCACTTAATTATGGGGATTTCCGACCATTGAATTTTTAATCTTGTCAATATTACCACTTAACTATTTAAAAGATGTCAATAAAGCCATCAACTGTTTACATTTAACAGAGAGGGTAATGTGACATCTAAAAATTTTGGTATAACTGTACATTTGGTTCATGTTACTTACATATTCTATTAACTTAGTTTTAATTTTTAACAGAATATGTAAGTAATAGAGACTAAATATGTAGTTATATTAATTTTTTTAACTGTTACATCACATTCTCCATCAAATGTTAACTGCTAGTAGCTTGATTAATATTATTTAAATAATTAAGTTGTTCAATTGACAAAATTAAAGGTTGATAGCCATATTAGAATCTCTTCATGATTAAGTGGCAATAGATGTAAATTACCCATCATGTTAATATAAATTAAAAATGCTATTCATATTATGTTCGTAATATTTTTTTATTATTCTATTATTTCTAGAAAAATTCTAGAGTGGTTGTTGTATACCAAAATTCACTATTAATATGATACACTAAAATACACCACTAATTAAATTATATTTATTAAAAATATATTACAAATTTCAATGATCCCTCGATAATCCATCCTTTATAAAAGTTTAGTTTTAATTAAAATTTTATATATAATTTCACTGTCGATTTAAATAACCAACTGTCCATTAAACTAAGACTCAATCGACAACCATTAAATTATTTTAAATATTTGCTAAAATATTTTTTTCACATTAATCTAAACTATGGTGACTTTCAAATTACATATTTAACCACACGTAATTTTATAATTTTTTTTAAAACGACACGAAACAAAAAAATTTATCCAAAATATCACGTATCTTGCAATTTTATCTTACAAATTAATTAATGGTTCCAACACTTATATTTGGCCATTAATGGTTGTTTTAGACAAAAATGATTTGTCCAACCTTCGTTAATAAGCTCATAACCTTTTCTTTTTGTTTTTTCCTCTCCGTATTTTTTTTATCATCTTCATTTTATTCGATTTTTAAAAAGTTTTAAATTGTCATTTTTTTTATTTTTTAATAATTATTTTCATCTCCTAAAATTTTATAAATTTATTCTCTTCTAAAATTTGAAGATTTATCTCCTTGTTCAATTTCACTTTAAAGATCTCAAACCCCAAAAATTCCCCTTTAATTTGTGATCTCTAATTAGTTCGAGTTTGAACTTGAATTTTAAGTAAAAAATCTTATATTATATTTTAAAAAAGAAAACAACATATTAAGATCATTACTAATTTAATTTTAAAAAAATAAATTTTAGAATTGTTTGTGAGTTTTTCGAGCTAGATATCAAATAATTCTTTTTGATTCGTTAAAAGCTCGAATCAAATTTATTTAATTCCTGCAGTGCACCAATTTTTTTTTTGAAAGGAACAACCAATTACAACTCTGAAAATATCTTATAAATAAAACAAAAAAGAAAAACTAGTAACACACACACATATGTTACGAAGGAAATTATAGGTAACATACTTATAAAAGAAATTAATTTAATTCTTGATTTTTATATTAATTTTAAATTTTTAAAATAATTTTATTGTGAAAATGCATATTAGATTTACATTCAAAAAATTAAAAAGAGAATTAACTAAAAATTTTGAGATCTAACCGACAATGATGGTAACAAATATAGCAACTAAGGATGACCGACGACATAAACTTTGACTAGATTAAGAAATTAAATTAATATTTTATATAAATTTAAGGTTAAAATAATATTTATATAGAATTTAAAGATTATATTAAAATTTAACTATTCTCACTAACATAATACAATGATAAAATGAAACAGGCTAAAAAACAGAAGACCAAAATCATTTTTTTAATAACAGTGATTGAAATCAAACAGAGTAGAATATAAAAAAGAACTAGTTTGTTTATTCAATTAACATTTAGTATAAAAAATATTTATTTATTTGTTCCATGCAAAAAATTGTTTCTTTTTATCTTGCAATTAACTAATGCTTCCAAAACTCAGGTTTGGTAATCGTCTTTAATGGCAGTTGTCGTCTTCATCAACGTGATTTCCTAAATATATCCTTCTTTTCAACTTTCATACAAACTCGGACACAGGGTCGTTTTAGTCATAAAAAATGGCACAACCTTCTATATAAGCTCATAAATACCATTCAATGTACCCAGTCGTCAAGTCTTTTTCATTCTCTTGACCTGAGACTATATTTCGAAAACAAATGGACTATTTCATCCTTCAAACCTTTTTTATTTCCCTCGTAGCCCTTTACGTCATCTCTTACCTGCGGAAATGGCTTGCAAGCTCACGGTCAACGACATTAACCCCACCGTCACCGCAAAGTCTCCCTATAATCGGTCACCTTCACCTCCTCACAGACATGCCACATCACACCTTCTCCAAACTCGCCCAGAAACTCGGTCCAATAATCTACCTCCGACTCGGCCAGGTTCCCACCATCGTCGTCTCCTCACCGGAACTCGCTCGACTTGTCCTCAAGACTCACGATCAGGTCTTCTCGAACCGTCCTCGGCTCGTCTCCGCTCAGTACCTATCCTTCAACTGCTCTGACGTCACGTTCTCTCCTTACGGCCCGTATTGGCGCCAAGCTAGAAAAGTCTGCGTCACCGAGCTACTCAGCTCGAAGCGAGTCAGCTCGTTCGAACTCGTCCGAGATCAAGAAGTGAACCGGTTACTAAAGACGTTGTCGACCAAATCAGGATCGGAAGTGAACGTGAGCGAGCTTTTCTTCTCGTTAGCGAACGACATACTTTGTCGGGTGGCGTTTGGGAGGCGGTTCACGGAAGGTGTAGGGTCGTCGGATGAGGGGGAAAAGCGACATCTGGCGGCGGTGTTGACGGAGACGCAGGAGCTGTTCGCGGGGATGAGCGTGGGGGATTTTTTCCCCGAGTGGGAGTGGGTTCAGTCGGTGAGTGGGTACAGGAGGAGATTGACGAAGAATCTGGAGGAGTTGAGGAGAGTTTGTGATGAGATAATAGAGGAGCATTTGAGATGGGGAGGGGATAAAGAGGATTTTGTTGATGTTTTACTGAGAGTGCAGAAACAAGATAACTTGGACGTACCGATCACGGATGATAATCTCAAGGCTCTTGTTCTGGTAAAACCTTCTTCTCTCTACAACTATTTCAATTTGATTTTAATATGGTCATTTTCGTCATTTGATTTGGGCTTAGATTTTTTTTTACTCAAATCTAAAATTTAACTCAACTTTTAAGTAAAAATGTATATCTGGTCGGATATAAATATAAATTTAGTTTCTCTTTTAATAAAATTTAACGTACTAGAGGACGTGAATGATTTAATGAATTCTAACCATTTATTGATCTAATATCATTCCGTACGTTAAGTCATCAGCAGTTTCAAAGGATAAGAAATGAAGTAATAAGGTGGTATAAATTTCAAATTTTCATTCAATTCCCGTTAATTGAATCTGTACAAACTTATTAAGTATTTCTTAAAAAGTTAATTTTATTTAAAAATTTACTTAAAAATGATTTTTTTAAATTGTACGGAACAGGACATGTTTGTTGCAGGAACTGATACAACAGCAGCAACCTTAGAATGGACGATGACAGAGTTAGCCAAGCACCCTGAACTAATGAGGCAAGCGCAACAAGAGGTCCGATCCGCCGCCCATCAAACCGGAAAAGTCGAGGAGAATCATCTTCTAAACCTTCACTTCATCAGATCTGCAATCAAAGAGACGATGAGACTTCATCCGTCGGTACCTTTGTTGGTTCCACGAGAATCCATGGATGAATGCATCCTCAATGGCTACAAAATACCCGCCAAAACTCGGATTCTTATCAACACCTACGCTATAGGAAGAGATCCCCATTCATGGGACCATCCCCTGCAATATAATCCCAAACGATTTGAGGATCCGGACGTCGGTGCCAAGGATCAAGATTTTCGATTCCTACCATTCGGAGGTGGGAGACGAGGTTGCCCCGGTTACACTTTTGGTCTCGCTACTGTCGAGATTGCACTTGCTCGGCTCTTGTTTCATTTTGATTGGGAATTGCCTAGCGGATTTAGCACTGACGATGTCGGCGTTGATGAGATTTTCGGTCTCGCTACAAGGAAACTAACTCCTCTAATACTCGTCCCGACAGTGAAGGAAGAACTATGAGGTAAATTTGGACAAAACTTCGGCCATCCTGTTAAACTGTTTCACTTTATTTGAAGTAAAATAATCAAAGTTATTATGATATCCGAAGTGTCCGGCATTGATTTTCGACGCATATATAACCGAGTTCCAAGTTTTGGTGATGATAACTCGAGCCCGGCAGAGCATCGGTAGTATATTCCATGTTTAAAATATAGAATATGCACAGATGAATATTCCTAGTGAACCATATAACAAGGAAGAAACTGCACCTGAAATCCAAAGAATATGAACAGGGGTGGGGTGGAAGCCTCTCAAACGAGCCCGCAGCCTGAAACTATATACTCTCGACGAGTAAAATTGCGAACCTCACAACACATATCAAAATAACACTATATGTAAGATTTGTAATGCTATTTAATCAATTAAACATCTTCTAAAATTATATAATCAATCAGAAGACCAAATTGAATAAAACACAAAATTAAGAGTCAAAATCGAAAAAAGAGAATATTTGTTATCAAAAGGAGGAATAGAGTTATGCATCTATTCCATTATATTTGAGAACCACGTGGTTCAAATTTAATAAAAATAATCAAAAAATGAAAGAGGCATTGAAAAAAATAGAGATCAAATAAAAAAAACAATTAAAGCATTTAACTAAAGACCAATCTCGGCCTAGTACTTCGACTCCGACATTAAATCTAACAATTAAAAGTAACGAGCGTTTATCTATATCTAACCTGGTAAGGCATTGGCGTTTGCTTTGTGGGGAACGAGCATTGCTTCGCTGCCGGAACCTTTCTTTTCAGCAAGTTCTTCCAAGCGCTTCCATGTTGTTTCGCGTCTCGTTTCAATCGCATCTTCCTTTGATTCTTCTTCCTGAAACTTAACCGAGCATTCCTTGCGCAGCTCCGGGTCAAGATCGTAGAAGATCTTGCGGACATTTAAAGTCAAGCTCTTTACAGCTTGATTCCAGTGATTCCTAGCATTTTTCTCCAAGGCCGGGAAAATAACTGGCAGTATAACCTTGCGGTTTTGAATGATTAAGTTCTGAATGTGATCGTTGTTCCACAAGAAAAAAGCTCGCTCGGCTACCTGGGACGCAAAAGAAGGAAAAAACCAGCAGTTGCATGGAACATTCAGAAGAGGGGAAAAAAACCCGGAAAAGATAATATAAATTCCATGGAAGACCACAACGATAGAACCTAAGTCCCATGAAAAAAATCCGGATCATATTTCAAGTCACACAAAATATTTCCAGCTGAAAGTGTGCTTAACGTCGGCTATAATTGTCAAACCGTTTTATCTACCTAAGTCTCAAAGTGACTTTTCCAGCCGAAAGTATGTTAAAATAAACAATATCACTTAACAGAAACAATAATCCCAGTTTTGCTGGCATAATCTCCAAGGATCTATATTATCGTATCTTACATCCGTTCCAGCATGAGGAAATATTATAAAATGAAAATGGTTCGAAGCCTTGACTCCAATCATATAGAGGAATATGGCAGGTGATACCATATGGATACACCAAGTAGGGCCAAGATATTAGTAAGCCCTAATGCTACACCCTCCCTTTATTGAAGTAATAAGAATTAAAATAAAAGTAGGGCCAACAATTATAACTAACTACAAAATAATTTTCAATCAACCGAAGAACATGTCGTTCTAGTTATAGATATTCACCTTTCCGGAGCTATTCCAACATTGCCAATATGACCATCAAACACCGAAGTACTCAAAAACAGGACCAGCGGATATGAAAAGGATTTGAAGAAACTAAAAGATTTTGTTTTTGGAAACTATTTTAAAGTCCATAAAGCTTGTAATAGTGTTGAGCAAACTATTTGGAAGCTGCAGCTACATTATCATTCCTTTTCACCGCAATACTTATTTGTTAATTTCATCAGTGGAACCTACTGAAATACAATTGAAATCCAAATTTCTGGCAATTATTCAACCATTTCTGAGTCTGCAAAATAGCATAATCTGTCTAAACAGTGGGATACAAATTTGATACGTCGGCAATACACGTGCAAAATGGGATGAATGTTAAATAAAGCCTGACTTCGTGAATTCAAACTGTATGACGAATAGTCAAGTTTTGATCTTTTCTAACATCATTAAACAACCACTATCGAACCGATCACAATAAGTAACTGCAAAGTATCCCTTTAACATTTACTTTACTGATCCTAGCATTACACATTCTTGGGAAAAAATGAGAGCATTTCAAGCAAATAGTAATGAAAACAAAGTTGATCGATATTAAAATTTTACAAGGGACTAGACTTGAATTTGAATACCAACTGCCTGCCAGAGTACAAATTGATGTGTTCGAAAAAGATCCTAGAAATCTTCGCAATATGGGAGGACAGAAAAGAGAGGCATTGAAGACAGTGGTAGTTAGGAGTAAAACAATCAGAAAAATGGTCTAATCGATGCCACAAACTATACATACAGAATGAATCCACATTATGCCATCTATGATGCATTCAATAGTAAGTAAAACAATAAGATCTCCAAAGTCCGATATATGAATAAGCAAATCTAGAATATCATCATGTCAAACTGAAAATTGTTTTAAAAAAATGTCTTCTACGTCTAAACAGAAACGCAAAGCATAATACAAAATTTTAAGGAACTTCTTACCTGAAAGTGCAGAGAGTTCAAACAACAAGCAATTCGGCGAAATAATGGTACCACGCAGCGCTGGAATTCTGGTGGCTGAGTTGCTTCTAAAACTTCCTCCAATTCATTTAGGAACATGACTTCCTTTGCACTGTTGGTGATGGGCCAATACTTTAATAACCCTCGAATGACGGTATCAACAAGCTTGCAGTCTTTCTCCACAAACTGAGTAATGCAATAAGATAACTGTTGATGATACATTGCTAAGCATTTTGGCTTATGCAAGGGAATTAGCGCCCGGACAAGGAACACTTTATGATCTTCTTTCAGCGGCAGCGCAAACCCATTAATAATACTCCCCAATATTTCTAGAAGTTCAGCAATTCCATTACGTTTCTCAGTCTCAAAAATAAAACGGAAAAAGATGTTGTTTATAGCTTTCCTAATGAACGGTCGGTGCACCATGAATTTTCCATAGATACGATGAAGAATTGTTTTCAAATTTTCCCTTTCTCTAGGATCTTCAGAATCAAATAAGTCAAGCAACCGGATAATGAAAGAGTGATCAACATATCTTTTTGCCAATTTTGTACCAGTCTCAGGTGAGGCTATGAACCTCAAAAGAAACTCGTATACAATTTGCAAGTGTGGCCAAGCAGGATCCATTGAAGGTTCCTCCTCTTCCAGATCAATTCCTTCTACAACTTTATTCTCACATGGTTGAGGATTAAGGCTCCTAAATAAGTTTGTTGATTCCATTTTAACAATTTCATGCAGAACGGTCTCTGAAAATTTCCCATTCGCTGAGGTCACATAATCGACAAGCTCTAACAGCATCTGTTGCTTGATCTCCTTCTCTTTGAGGTTCTTGGTGGGGTCATTGAAATCAAATACAGCACAACACAAGTGAATCTTTTTTATGAATAAGTTCTGCTTCTCTGAAGCCGGAACATCTTTGAAAGCAGGCAATGCTTCATAGAACACATTAGTCTCACCGGCCTTCATATTGGAACTTTTCCATCCAACATCAGCAGAAGAATTAGGCACCGGAGAATACGAAACACTCAAATTTCCTGACTTGTCAGTTCCTAAATCACTGCTCCTCGAGCCACCGTAAACGCTAGAATAAGTAGCATGGTTTCCACCATGTTCACGACTCTCCGAAGTCTTCGATGACTTCCGGAGAAGCTTACTTAAAATATGTTTGAACATGATTCACTCCCCCTTAATGCCACAATGCCGATTCACACCAATTACTCGATAGTTGGTACCAGTCAAGCTAATCAAAAATCAAAATCCATGAAATACCAAAACCCGAAATCCCCTAACATAAGAAAAATCAAACCCAAGCAGCTAAAACAACAGAACCAAACCCAATTTCCAGATATTTTTCAAATCCAACCACCTAAAACAGAGACCCTTTCTTCATCTTCAAGCCTCGTGTATGAAATTCAGCCCAAACATTGCAAATATTCGAATTTCCAGGCTTAAAGAGAAAAAACAAGTAAGTACAAATCCACCCAAAACAAGAAAGGATCAGCACAACCTTCTCTGTTCTTCTTCCACCAAGGAAATCAAAAATGGAAAATAATAAATTAAGTGAATTCCAGGATATTCCATAATACAATTTATCTATAAGATGAATTGAAACAACAAAATAACTCTATCCAATTAAAGAAAACAATGCAGTATAATCCGCAGTCAACTAATTGTTTTGCATGTAGAACAATGTTCAAGTGTTCTAGTGCTTGATTACGAGAATTGGCTCTCACATCTTGTCTGAGATGAAAATTTTAATTTTGATTAAAATATTTATGTTGATTTATTACCTTTTGCACCGTATTTGTTAGGTGGGGGTTGTCAGCCATATGGAGGCAGGGTTTAACCGTCAAGTATGGGGACTACACCCGAAGGATTGGTATTGATGGTACTGCTGAAGCCATCAGAGAAGCAATTAAATCTGCTTTTAGATGGAGAACTAAGCGTGCGTTTTGGTCGGAGGATGAAGAGCATATAGTTCGAAGTCTCGACAAGGAAACGTTGGAAAATAGACTGTTGCATAACCTTCTCGTGGTAATCTACTGCCTTAATCGCTACAATGGACGAACAGTCCCCTGAGGTTAACACGACTCTTCAAAAATTCGTATACCCGAAAACTGGAGTGAAATTGGTGGTATTGCTCTTCTCTCAACTCAAACAACACTCAAAATAGATGAGTGTTTCAAAGCAAATGTTTGCTTGGGATATCTCAAAATGAATGAAATTGCTCATTATTTATAGGTTAAATAGTGAGAGCAAAATCGTCATTTCTAATATTAGTGGAATAACTTAATTTGAGCATATTTCCAATGCTAGTGGGATAAATTTGAGCATTATCAACAGGAAATGCCTCTAGGAAATTATACACTCCATCTTGATGAAGGTAAGATTGAAACCACTCTGATCCGTACAATGCGAAAGCCTTAATAATGCATAGTTGGCCACTCACTAATTGGTTGTCAATTTATATGAAAGAGTTGTCTCCTTACGCTTAGTAATGCAGAAACTTTAAGCCAGCACCTTCAGGTTGCTATTAAAAATACTTGCATGCATTTTTTTCACTGGTAGAAGATAATAACAATGCGACTTTTTTTCTTTCAAATACCTTCAATCAGGTTTGGCAGTAAAAGTGTACATCTAGGATGAGTTAGATCATATACCAGTCCACACAGAGGAAAAGACTTTTTACACAGAAGATGATTATCGTGAATACCTAGTCCGTCGGGGCTACACAAGTCTCAGGGAGATCGATGGATACAGAAACATCGACAATATGGATGACCTTCAAACTAATGCTATATATGCTGGTGTGAGCTGAAATCTGGTGCATTCCTTGCGCAAGTGGAGTGCTCTCGGAGGTCTAAAACGAAGTCACCTTGCCTTGGCAAAAGTGTGCATGCGGGATTCTTAGATTTGTTCATATGGAGTGTTTTCTTAGGTATTCACTCCAGGACGGTATCTGTTCATATGGCATGGGCATCTTTTTTGTACATTTGCTTGTGGGCTGAAAACAATGTATTTTGTAGCAAGGTTTTCAAATGGGGTCATTTTTTGTTTTTTGAGTATCTGGAACTCCAGTTTTTGAGAATTTAACTTTTAGTCATACTCCTCAAGTTTCTGCAGTGGATCGCAACCGAGCTGTGGTTTGCGAATGGGACATTTTATTTGGTTAAACATTCTTTCTGAAGCAGGAGATACAAGGACAGGGCGAGACCCGAAATGAATGAAGATAATAGGACTGTGCTGCTTGAAATGCTTCGCAAGAGTTGATGGATGGGCGGAGAGGGGAAGAGCAGGGCTCGGTAAGAGTTCGTTTGTTATCGAACCTCTTTACGATTAGAGGAAGGAGAGGAAGAAAACAACGTAGTAGAAAGGCGAGGCTTCCATGGAATGATAAGAGGAATAAAGGAACTGAGAATCATTTTTTGGATAAAGCAGGCAGTTACAGACTTACAGCCATCAATAATTTGTATTAGAATAAATAAAATGAACTATGTAAGCAAATCTGCCATTTTTAATGATTTTTATATTCAGAAACAAATTTCACAACCATACACAAAGGGAGACTCAAAACAACCGATACATTTCATCTTTCGTAGCAGTCCATTGAAAATATATGTAAATAGAAAGATTCACATATAAATATTGCAGTAATAAAGAAAAGAAAAGGTTCTGTCCGGTCTACTGCTCGTCCCATTCATCACTCTTGTATGAAACAAGAGTGTCAACGTTGTGTATCTGCATAACCCCAAATAAACAAATACTTAGCATAAACGCCACCCCCCTTTTGGCCTCAAAATTCTATTGATTGATTGATTACCTTGGTATCAAATGAATGCAACTTCACCATTTGTGGATTTGCAATCAACTTA